CCGTTACGCGAGTGCGTAAGAAGGAAAGTCAATCAGGTTACAGTTATGCGCGATAAGTTCATAGTAATTGCAAGGTCAATGAAATTATTCATATCGTATAGACTCTGCGGAATGGAGATTCTTGAGTAGTTTCGCCTCCGACCAGCGTATCAACCGGTTTCAGTTCGAGGTTCAAGGCTTTCGATTCCATATCCGTATAGATGGGATTTGTAAATATTCTACGACTATTCTAAAGAAATTGTTTTTCAGGATTCCAGAGGTTTTCGAGAATATCGTTCACGTTCAATTTAGAGAGGATTTCACGGTAGCATTGAGGGCATCAAGAGGGTAATTGCTGCGTCCTAAACAATATTTAGAAGATAGATCGTAAAAAAGTTCGACCGAGCCCTTCCACTCGATAACGAAACTGGATCGAAGCACTGATGGACAAAACCCCAAGTTTCGAGTAAATCTGAAGTGTACCGACGTGTTTGTCTCGTTTCCTCTTTCGAACATTTGCCAAAGAAGGAAACGAGACAAACATGTCGGCAAACTTCAGACTTCTCGCGTCGATATCCCTCGATAGGTTAAAATCGAAAACAAAGAGTCTCCCGTACACCGTCGATAATGTCCCCCATCTGTTTTACCCAAAGAAAAATTCAAAACTGTGCACAAAAAAAAAAGAAGGAAAAAACCGTAAACGACTTTCGGAAGCATTATGGAATACCTTATCGCCGCGTTAGCTAATTAATGTTACCAGTTTCCTCCGCGCGCGATACGGGCAGGAAAAAGTACGAATATGTCAAGGAAGTCGGTGGACAAGTGGAATTAATTATACGGAAATATCGATGCCTGAGCGACGCGGTGCAACGAACGAATTCACCTACGTAGAAACGTTGTTCCGATATGGAGGTCCGAAATATCGACGCGAAGTTACATCATGCGATGCCACTTACGAAGGAACCGCCATAGCGGGCCATACAAGTCGCGTCCACGCAAACTTACCTCCACGTGCTCGCGGCGGCGTGATTCCTGACGAAACACTGCTCTACGCTTGCAGCTACCGCAACTCCCGAAACAACATTCACAAGGAATTTCTACATCACGATTTCGAATTATCCCGAATTTCTGTATTCGTTACAAAGGCTCGTTTACGACGAATCGAAACGTTTCACGTACAATGGTACAATCCATATTTAATATAAAATCGTCACGAAATGCATTTATTTTTCGCGTACCTCGTGGGACGTTAGTATACATATGTATAGATCAGTTACGCGCAATGGCTTTCGTGAGCACGCGTTGCTAATAGTTACTTAATTTTATCGCCTTGGGGAGAAGTTCGATATCGTCGATTCGTAATTAAAAACTGATCGCGGTTTCCTAACCTATAATCTTAAGGAAGACTCAACATGTAGAAGACTCATCACGTGTGAAATTTGAATGTGAATTCGATACTGTTTTCTGGGCTCGAATAAGAAATACTTGACATACATTTTAAATATATGACTACAATATGGTCGTTCGTAGAAGTCGGGAAATTTGCATCGTAAAACAACGTAATACTCGAAGCCAGGGAACGGCACTTCGGAATCACAATGCCTTGTCCTTTCCCCGAATTTCGTCTTTACCTTCTTCGTTAACGGTACATACGTAGGATTCACCGGGAATAGCATTCGAATGCAGCTGGCGGTCAACCACGCGCATAAAAGATTCCTAAAATACGCGCTGCAGCCAGTCGAAGACGCAGAAGATCACAAAGAGGCCTGATGGAATTGTAAATGACAGAGAATATCGAAACCGAGGCTGTGTCCCGTTCTCGCGGCGACGATACACTATCAACGGAATACTTTATCAGTTCCACTCGTGCTGGTACGGTTTGGCAAAATTTTGTACGAAAGAGACGAAGTGGCGACAATATTTACACCGCTCTCGGCAAACACAGATACCGAGTTGCACAATCAATTACCATATTAATAGCCATTGTTACACGTCTCGACTTAATTGCTCGCGATCAACGCGAAACTAGAATACTAATACAGAGTAGTTTCTTATTCGAGTCTAAAAAATGTTGGAAGTCATCGGAGGAGGTGGTTCGGGGGGTGATTTGAAACAACTTTTTCCTTGGCGAAAATGTTGTACGAGGCTTCGTCGAAGAGATATTAACGGAAAACACTGACCAATCAGAGCGCGAGGATGCCGGTGGAGCGCTCGCGGTAGCGTATGAGAGCGGCCACTTAGCGCGTAGTCTTCGCTACCACGGGCGCTACATCGGTATACGCGCGCTCTGATTGGTCAGTGTTTTCTCTTAATATCTCCTCAACGAAACCTCGGACAACATTTTCGCCAAGGAAAAAGTTGTTTCAAATCACCTCCCGAACCACCCCTTTCAAGGACCTCCAACATTTTTGAGATACCCTGTATATGTATCTACTGTAACAAAATAATCGCGATAAAATTTGTCTCCGCGATGGTGCACGTTGAAACGAGAATTTCAGATATCGATCATGCGGTTCTCGATCGTCGCTCGAAGACTGTGTCCCTAGTCCCTATCCCATTTCCAAATTGAAATCGAGTTCACCGACGCTATAAATAGTGGCAGATGACGCGGACGCGTCTAATATTGGTTTTCGACTCGGAAATTAAAGTTGTTCGTACCTGTCGTGCGACGACTCGCTTGTTTACGGTGAAAAAGAACACAAACGTGGTGCGAGCCGATGGATCCCGTCTAACGATGTTACCTCGTCTCTGGCGTACGCCGGTATGTTCGGTGACACAACGATCCACGAATTTATCGCAACGTGTTTGTCACGATCCCGTCCACGCTGCGAACTTTTCGCAGCACCGAGTTATACACGTACCGGCGTGCACCACCGCGAACACCGACCGAAACGAGACTGCCGTGCGGACGCACGCCGTTCAAGAATAAACTGAAAGTTTTTGTCCCCGGAAGAGCGTCGCCGTGTTTCATCAGACGACCGCCAGGGGTCGAACGCCATACCCGACCTTCGATCGAATTATTGTCGCAACATTTTTCTCGATTTTATAAACGATCTTCGATAAATACTCGCTGGAAAAAACGAACGGAGGACGCGCTGTTTTAGGTTATGGTTCTATATTAGAAATTTAAGGAATTTTTAGGAAGATTAGATTGTTGTTTATATAAATAAGCGAGTATTCTACGAGTATTCTGCGAGTATTCTGCGAGTATTCTGCGAGGCTTATACGTAGAATTTGGGATGGAAAATTTGAAATTCGGATAAGGTTGGGTAAACGTGTTATATGAAGAGATGATAATGAAATATAGAGACTAACTTTTATCTTAAACTTTTAACTTGCATTTTCGGACTTTTCAGGTCAGAAACTACAGGATTTGATAATTTGTAACCAAAAAAAAAGTGGGCCCCTGAGACAAAGTTTAACCCTATTATTCATTTATTTCTTAAAATTAGTTACCATTTCAACGAGCTCTTGTGTTTTATAAACTCGCACTCAAGAAGCGTGTCGTATAAACTTGTACGGTAGAAGTTCTACCGGCGCACGTGGTCGTTTAACCTAGCAAGAAATCCTGAAGAGATAGTCTCGCGTTACAACTATAGCTGAATTACGTCTGGCTCGGGTCTGGTACTAATTAGTTTAAAATTCGAGTATTTCATATGCGTTCGGACGTTAGGAATCAATTTTGCATATTCGAGTGTCGTTAGTAGAATATTATTATATCGATATATTCGCTTAATTATACAATAAGAATATCGATGACGTATCTTACCGCGATCCCTTCGTGAGCCTGGTTTCTTTGAAAGTTCAACCGCGCTGCAACGATATTTTACAAAGTTAACGAAAAATTTACCCGCGTCGACCTGCATACCATCTGAATTAATATTTGCCAGGCGTGGTTTCCTCGTGGAACCGTATGATGAAATTCTGGGAGCGATATTACACTATTACAGCTACCACGCCGTTCCCGATCCTCGAGTTCGAAATGTCAATCAAATACGTTAACGATCAATAAAAAGCTCCAATCGTTATCAACATTAATAGCAGCGTTCGACGCCGACTAGCTTTCTCAGTTCTTCCGATAGTTGTCAGCGTTCCGTTTCGTTATCGGCGTAGCAGGAACAAACATCGGATCTCCGTTGTTAAACTTTGAATTATGAAACTATTGCATCATGTTACGCGATGCGTCCTTTCGTCGCCGATGATGACGATCGAAAACGGTGACGTTCAACGGGACGTTAAGATATTCGCTGGTTTCTGAAACCGTGTGGAATTAAGCGACGTGTCTGTGGATAATTTTTAATTGTATTAATTCGGACTGACCACAGAAACGTATGCGCGCGGTCGATCGCTGCATCGATTCATTGATAAGCGAGCTATCAATTGGATACACGAGACGCAATGGGACACGAGGGTGTCCCAAAAGTCGGGGAGGAGCCGGAAATGGGGGGTAGCTGAGACGATTCTGAACAACAATTTCCTTTGCAAAAATGTAGGATGGGGCTTCGTTAAGGAATCATATTAAGAGAAAACCCCGACCAATCAGAGCGCGCGTACACCGTTCGTGCGGCCGCCGGTAGGGAAGGCTACGCGCTAGGCGGCAGCGTCAGTGTCCTTCGATGCACGTCGAGTTACTTGTTCGCGTACAAGCGCGGCCGCCAGCGCGTAGCCTTCGCTACCGCGGCCGCTCCAACGGTCTACGCGCGCTCTGATTGGTCGGGGCCTTTCTCTTAATATCTCCTCAACGAAGCCCCACCCGACATTTTTGCAAAGGAAATTGTTGTTCAGAATCGTCTCAGCTACCCCCCATTTCCGGCTCCTCCCCGACTTTTCGGACACCCTGTATACTATTCGCGTATATCGGATATCGTCAATTGCACGCATCGACGATAACAAATTTAAGAAGAAATTTCTCTTCGCGCGCATCTCGAGGAATTATTTTTCTCGTTGGATGCTGAAAGTTAGTTTATTTGAATTAGATCTCTGCATTTGCGAAAGTATGCAACTCGCATAAATATCTGCAGTCTAACGACGAATACGCGTTATACTTTGGAAAAAAATGACAAAATATGGTGGAATCGAACGGAAGATAAACTCGGTAACGCGGACAGCCGCTAAACGCAGTTTCCACCGACGAGTTCTCCGCAGTCGTCTCTGGAATTCGCGTGCATCATGCGAAAAACGAAACACAACCGTGCCGTAAATACACAAGGCGTAATTTAATATCTGCATGGGCCATTATTAATTCTACAACGTGATACATTAAACGCCAGCGATATCAACCGACAAGGGGCGCGTTTTATTGCGTCGAATTATTCACTGCGACAAACAAAAATAAACACTACGAAATTTCGATTCGTCAGAAATTCCCGCTCTTTTCCAGTGTTTCGGAACTTTCAGGCGAGCCTCGTTGGCTTATTTTTCGTGTACCACGCGTGCAACTCGTGCAGAAACGGTTTGGTCAGTTTCCGTAATTCCTCCTGTCGTTCTAGGTCCGTTCCTGAAAAACCTATCTCATCGCAGATTGGTTGCCATCGTCTGTCCTTATCGAACCTCGATTTATCATCGTCCCCCGCACACTGATCCCGTTTCAAATCACGACGAACCGATGGCGGACGTGCTGCAAAGCGAATCGAGCTCGTTAGAAGCGGTTAGAAGTTTCTAACTTAAAACGATAATTTAACACTAGGTGAACGCTAAACGCTAGGTTCGCGGAGGCACGTAGCGCTCTATATCTTTTCTTTGCTTTTTTATGTTTACTTTTTGAGAACTTATTCGGTGGATTTATTGTCGAAGCGGTTGGCGAGTAATGTAAATGGTTACCGTAATTTTCATTGTGAAAAGAATGGATGAATATGTTACAGTGTTCTGCGAATGTAGCGTTAAGATTCATGTACATACGACGTTTTCCCACGGGACAGACGCATTCGTCAACGGATGGACCAGTGTCTGTCGTGGCTTTTTCTTCGGTCCTGAGAACCACCTCGAAGGCGTCTGCTCGATCCAAAGTGTCCTTCATGCTGGTGTCCTCTGGATTCTGTGCAAATTCGACATCGTCATGCTCGATTTCATATGGAACATTGATTGCACAAGCAAAGCATTGATTAACGTTACCCTTGCCCGATCGTTCAGGTGGAAAGATTAAAAAAAAAAAAAAATAAGACCAACCTCCACATAACATCGAAGGTAACCCGGACCACTACGCTACCTCATCCGAACATAGAACTTTTCGCTCTTTTCGAATCCGAGATCAAAAATACGAGTTTTATTTGAAACAATAAAGTTTATCTTTAAATGACCTTGAACGTGACCCTCCAAGGTCAAAGGCAAGGTCAGGAGGTACCACCACGAATTCAACCCTTTCGAGGTATTTCTCTACGGAATCAAATTCAGTCTACTTCTGTAACAAATCTCCGTCAAACCACAAGCTCTACATCGAAAAATCTACGAACGTCCACGACTCGAGCTATTATTATTTCAATTAATAATCGTACGTTCCAAAAATCACTTTTAAATCACACGTGTCGCCCTAGCGACGCCACTCGAGCGTCCCTCGCCACCCTCGTTCCATTTCTTTTCTATAAATGTAGAATTTCCTTTCTATGTTCATAATACGACAGTTCGGAGGTCAGAGGTTCCGCTACATAACGCTACGTGAATCATTATGGGCGGCGAGTGCCTGACGCGTTATTCGCACTTCACGACTGTTACGCATATCTCCCAAGCCGTAATAGCACAGCCTTGATGCGTATCCAATGCAAAATGCACGTGACGCGATATGCATACAATAACGCGGTAGCATCAACGAGGACGACAAATACCGCTCTCACGCGTATATCATTTTTTTCCGTTCACGGGAAAACACGAAATCATTACCTCGTCGACGACGTGAAAAGGATCAGACCGGCGCTCAAGTTTTCTTCGTTGATTTCGCGGTGTGCGCTAGGCAATAAATGTCTCGTCTGCGGAGTGCAAACACGACGCACTGTTTCGAGATAGCATACATCAAGATCATAGACGTCGGCCGTGGAAAATTAATCGCAATGCGTATCGAGAATTAAAGAGATACGAAACGAGCAAGCACCCTGCTGTTTTCCAGACAGCGTACGTCAAGAATCTCGCGGAAAATTAACTCAATTGCATAACGGAAGTTAACGAAACGCCGATAAGGGAGTTCCTTCGATGCGTTTGGATTATGTAATAAATCAGGAGTATAAAAGTCAGTATAAAATCGTTTCATCTTTAAATTCGCAGAATTATTTTGTCGATACCGCGTCTTTCTTCTACCAGGCGTCGATTCCATAATTGGAAGAGTAATGAGCGTTCATCTTTCGCGGTAGTGGAGCTTTCGACCTTGATCCATATCGCACAGCGTGCGAGTCGAACAACAAACTGTGATTTTTATGGCGCGAACGACTCGCGAACGGATAAAAAAAAGTTGCGTTCGACGATTTCATTGCATCGTTACGCCGACCTCAGGGACCTACGTTCATGTAATATTCCGGATATTTAATTTCACAGACCGCAGCTCTCACGCAACATTGCGACGGACATTTTAATTGCCGCGCATTCGTCTATCGTTCCAGGGGACGTTAGAAATATAATCATCACCTTTATTCGGGTAATTTACCTAATTTTTCATGAATTCATAGGTGACTTTGTATCAGGGTGGTCCTTGTTTCAATTAATTTTGTTGGCGCAGAGAAAGGAAAGAAGGAATTTCTCTAGGTCCAGTAAGGCTATATATTAGGTTGTCCCGAAAGTTTCTTTCGTTTTATTAATAATTAATACGTACACAATATTTCATGTTTTATGTTACATTACTGAATCGTGTACGATTCATTTCGCTTCATTACTGTTACAGCATCAATGAACTTGGATTGTCTATTTATAGAAACACTGCCACAGAAAATAATTGAATGCGACTCACGAAAGAAACTTGGAACAACCTAATGTACAGGGTGTCCCAAAACTCGGGGAGGAGTCGGAAATGGGGGATAGCTGAGACGATTCTGAACAACAATTTCCTTTGCAAAAATGTTGAATGGGGCTTCGTTGAGGAGATATTAAGAGAAAACCCCGACCAATCAGAGCGCGAGTACGCCGGTTGAGCGTAGGCTACGCGCTAGGCGGCCGCGCTCATTCGCTACCACGGCCGCTCCAACGACATACGCGCGCTCTGATTGGTCGGGGTTTTCTGTTAATATCTCCTCAACGAAGCCTCGGACAACATTTTTGCAAAGGAAATTGTTGTTCAGAATCGTCTCAGCTACCCCCCATTTCTGACTCTGACTCTGACTCCTCCCCGACTTTTGGGACACCCTGTATATTGGCCTATATATAAATGTAAACCAAACCGAGGACACGTGAGAAACGCCCAAACGTACTTCTAGTGTCAACACACAGGAAGTGGCACCATAATTTTTAACAAGGGCACAAGCTATCCAAGAATTTCTTATTACGATTCCAAAGATCATTTGAAACAAGAACCACCATAACGTACGTTGTCCGAGCAAACTACGCCAATTTTTGTGCATTTATTTCCAGGATTTCCCTTCTCACGGAATACCTTCATCCGATGTATGGCGCCAGGTATATATTTCCTAGGATGATTCAAACGAAGCCTTTCACTGATTTTCCCTTCCTGTTCACTGGATTCTCTCAGTTTCTCGAACTTGTAATCGTCGATGTTTCCTACGGGCGAGCCTCGTGGTTTCGCGGTTTTGTCCTTCCACCAGAATGGCGGTTTCAGGAGACCGCATTCTTCGTCCTCCTTTCTGAAAATATTATTCTGTTTCTAATCGCGGTACGCGGCGCGACGTGGTGCATGCTTACTTGGTCGTTTCCTCTTTTCTAGGGCATTCCACGGCGATGACACGACGCTTTTGGAAGTCCTTCAGGCGCATCTTACGAATATAATCCAGCTCGTACTGCGGCGAACGGGGGAAGATGGATAACACAGCTGCGAATTTGGAGAACTTTAGACGAGTTTTCTAAGTACGTAATCGCAGTCTATAGCTACAGTCAATATCGCGAGCACTTCGAGAAACGGTCATAAAATCATAAAAGGATATTCCTTCGAAGCTTATGTGCTCTTATAAAAAAATTGTCGTGGCACCTCTCGTCGTCACCGCTAGAGGGTCGCTGCAAGTACCGCGTCTTTCTCACAAGTAAGCCATAGCTCACAAGTAACATAGCCTATTCGTCTATCAGCCATTCCCTGTCACCTATTAGGTAGCTTTTTACCGACCGATAGTTTCAAATTTTCAAATTTACGTCGATTGCTATCATTTTCGAATACCTATATCGGCAGACCCAACGGTACACTCCGCGTGAAAATTCTAATATCTCCATTTCTATAATTTTAATTACAGAACGATTGACTCGTCTAAAAATAAAATATCTATACATTTTTTAAGGTTCGACAAAATCCTCTCTCTGACGTCTGGCAACGGCGTGTATAGTAATCGACGATCGCCAATCAAACAAATTTTTCCAACGTCTCGTCGAAATTGGGTTACAAATCACTCGTGACTCATTAGCGAATTAGTGTCGTCCGCCGGAATCATTTCGACGTAGATTGATTCTTGGACGTTCTATTATTCGTACGGTCGATATTCGATTGGTCGAAATTGCCAGCGTGGTATGTGCCCCTCCATTACGTTCAATGGGGGACAATTAATATTCCAGACGGCTCCTCGAACGAAGAAGAATGTTCGTACCGCGTTGGCCAGGACCAGCGACCCCCGATCTTGGGAACGTAAAGAATTCGTTCTGAAGTACTCGGCTCGGATCTAAGTCTAAATCTAGGATAAATGTCTGCTCTATGCAACGTCTAGACGCGCATAAATAGGGCCTCAGCCTCCTTTCGAGGTAAGCTTCGGAAATCAGCGGTTCGCTGCGTAGGAAGAAGTAAAGATTAGGTTGAGTAAAGATTATACGAATATAAATGTTAGAAACGTGTCAAGAGTTTAACTCGGTTAGAAGATTAAAAATGACGTTAACGTTAGCGTATAGTTAAACGGGATCCCGGGACGTACGGTTGCGTCGATCACGTTTCCACTGGGGCATCATGCTCAGCGTTTGGTAAATCAATCCGTCGTCTTGGCCGCAGGGGGCTACGTAGCCCCCCTTCTCCTTTTCAATCCATCGGTTTAAAGTACGCGAGTCCAGCTCTTGTATCGGCGCTACTGGGTCGCCTGCAACAATTACATCAACTTTCGCCTAATTCGATCGCCTTAACTCGATTGCGTCGACGATCTTAAATGGCATCTACCGAGGGGGGATCGAGTGGACGCAGTAGACAGAACGTTTGATCGCGGAGTTTCTCGCCCGTACGCGAATCGAGTCGGACAGCGTGTCGTAGCTGTCACGGCGGCATTCAAAGATCGCGTTTAATCGATAGAGAAGTCTTTCGTTTCAGCACGTCGAGCGCCGTGGTAATTTTTCTGAAGATTCTTTACGGGCATAACGTTCTGTAATAATTCAAAATTACGTCGTCTAAGATTTGTCGCGGTATTTGTTGTTACAACATCGGAATCGGGAGCCTGTAGATTGAATTTAAAAAGTAATGACAACAATGAAGATGACAAGAGCAAAGATGTTATTTAAAAAGAATAGGTACACGACGAGTGCAACGCTATAAAATAAACAACCTATATGGGTGAACATATCCGGGTGACGTTCCACAGAACGCAATTACACAACCGATCATTGAATCGAGAGCTTAAGCCACTCTTCCGATAAAATTAAATCATCATGCGGCCTGACGGATTCGGTGAACCTTTTAGAGCCAATTGTAGAATTAAAAATACAAGCTACGCAACCAAAGTCAATAACACAGAAGCACGATTTCCTGGTATGTCGTTCGAAATGTGTACAGAATCGCCATATGCGTTCCGGGAATACTTAATAAAAAGGTTACTTATCGAATATATTTGCCCGCGATAGAGGCTATTGGAAGATAAACGGAAGATAAACTAACTTAGAGTTCTTTTGATCGGTTTCAGCTGTTTAGCCACGTACTTATGGGTGGGGGACGGTTTTCCATGGTGAAAAATTCCATCCGTCAAATAGGACTGTGAAACGTCGGTTACGTAATAGTCAATCGGCGGCGGCTCTGGAAACTGAATTATCAATTAAATAATACCCCGTGAAATCGAAGCTACGTAAACGTATAATTATCACAGAAAAATTCGTTAAAACGATTTTATACTCCTGATATTAAAAATCCTTTTCGTTTTCAATCACGATATCTCAGTTGGGAATCTTACTTTTTGGAATCTCAAGATTTATAAATTATATTCAGGTTTATTTTTTTATAATACTTCGCTCGTAGAATTCATTTATTTAGTTTTCTAGCGAAAGGTGAAGGCTCCGTAAAACATACCATGAACATTTCTGCTTACGAAAATGTACCAATTCCTCTCGGAATAATATATTTCGAATCGATGTTTTGGCAGAATTGCTAAAAAATTGCAACGCCTCCGTTATCGCATACAAGGACATCTGATCGATGAATTCTGTATTTTTTAAATTTATTTCACGCTAGTTGCCAAAAGTTCGTCCCGAGTTAGGTAACGTAACGCGCGATCGCGACAACGTTCGAAGTCACGATGCGTCATCAGGACAAAGCAGTTTCCAAAGGTTATGGCGTCTCGCTTGAAATCCCGTTGCAACCAAATCGATCCATCCGCCAACGAATCTTTCGCAAACTTCACGAAAAAGGCGTAACCACGTTTACTGGAACGTTGCAGAAATTTTAAGTGACATACCGAACCAAAGTCCTCGCCGATCGTCCTTAATCGTTCGTCCCGCGTCTCTTACGCGTCGACTATAGCGATCCAGAGACCATGGAGCGCGGAAGTCGTTCGAAGAAGAAGCCTTCGAAAACGGAGAAGGCCAAGGGGTTAAATCAGGTTGAAACAGAGTGATGAATCGAATCTAAAAATGTTAGCTTCATAAATATTTTCACACTCCTGAAAATATTTATGAATTTTATTTTGGGACACCAAGAATTATCGACTATTCGTTTTTGATATCATTTGGTAGCTTTTGACGCTTGGATCACAAAAATGGAGGTTTTAATTCCAGGAATTAAACAAGTTAAAAAGTTACGCGTACGTAAAATTGAGTATTTACGGCGTATTTGATAGGTCGATCCGACGCCATGTTGGCTTTTGTCCATGCTCCGTTGATCGGTCAGGTAGAGAATGACATTAGAATGGTAAAACGTGTTACGAAAATACTGTCCGAGTAGGTTTGGTGCTCAACTTTAAATATGAATAACTCTTGAACCGTTGGATTCCTAACGCTAAAATTTCGATTTATGAATTCTAGGTACCAAAACTGATTAAATGGTAAAAAGAAAAGTCAATAAATTTGCGTGCTCCGAAGCAGAGTCGAAAAGTGCTCGCCTTTAGATAATTACAACTTTGAAGTCGTTGTATTCCTAACGCTAAAACTAAGATTTCTGAATTCTAGGTACCACTAACTACTAAACGATAAAAACAAAAGTCAATAAATTTGTGCGACCCAAAGTAAAGTAAATTCCGAAAGTGTTAATAAGATAATTGTACAGCGTGAAGATTCTTTTCTCCGCAAATTTTTCAAGAAACAATCCAAAACGACTGTTTCGAAAAGGTTCCAGAGGCACCATTGGTGCTAGGTAGCCGGAACGAGCCTCTGCCGGACGCCAAGGAGCAGTACCTCTTCTTCCTCGAGTTCCTGGTGGACCACGTGGTCAGCGATCGCCTGGCGAAGCTGAACCAGATGTTCTTCGTCCCCACGACGATCTGCATCGACTTCCTCAACTTCTCCGCGGACGAGACCGTCGAGATAACGCCGGTGGACCCTCTCTTCCAGCCTCAGGCGGGTGTCGCGGACGACGTGGAGTACTTTTACTCGGGACGGTCCGTGTTGTTCGCCATCGATCAGCGCACGGCCGTCAACAAGATCGTCGATTTCGTGGTGAAGCTCTGCGTCCAGAAGAAGATGCCCGACGGCGTGAAACCGGACGTCCTGATCGGCAAAGGCGAGCTGGACCTGACCAAGCACTTCGCCGCTCTCAGAAAGGAGATGCTTCAGTGCTGGAACAAAATGGCCCCTCCTCCAAAGTGCTTCGAGGGTGGGGTGCCTTTAATGTACAACGACGTCGAGGTGGGATGCGTGTGCATGTTCGTCAGGATCTCGGCGTTCGGTCAGACGATCGTCACGGAGTTCGAAGCTCCGCCGGACATGGACGTCTCTGCTTACATCTTCAAGGGCGACCAGGTGAACAACCGATCGCTCAGCTACAAATGTCGCGTGATCGATTCGAAGGATGCGGATATCGGAAGAGACTCGACCGAGGATGTGACGACCGGAGGGCCACCTTGCAGGGTCTGCGTGAAGGAGGAACATCCTTGTAGTCCTTGCGGACAACCCATAGGTGCCACGATTAAGCCTAACGCGGGTCCTAGGTAACTATGGGCCTTCGCAGGCCTTTGCGAGCTTGGAATAAGTTCGTGGAGGCTTGAGTCAGGTGGAGTCTGTCTCGGGACTGAAGTGGGACTTGTAGTTTGCGGTGTCGGGCGAGTATAATGTTTTTGATGGGGTTGAGTGGGAAGAATAGAGTTCGTATTGAATTTAATATGACTTCGAAGCTAGAGACTTTCAAGCTTCCGAATTATACAGAATTAAATAGGGGGATAGCTGAGACAATTCTGAATCATAGTTTCCTTTGCGAAAGTGTCGTACGGTGCTTCGTTTTCGTGTTATCAACGAAAAACCAACCGACCAATCGCAGGGCCCGCTCGGCCGCGAGAGGCTGGCCCGGTAGCTGGGCGGAGCGTCCTGGCGCTACTCGAGCGCTGCGATTGGTCCGTGGTTTTTCGTCGATAACTCGAAAACGGAGCACCGTACGAAATTTTTGCAAAGGAAATTGTGGCTCAGAATCGTCTCAGCTACCTACCCGTTTCCGGTTCTCACACTAATTCTGAGACACCCTGTGTAAACCTTCCAAATCTTACGCGAGACTCGGAAGCTACAGACTTTTCACTCTTCCGAGTCGCAATAACCCCCGAAACACGTCTCAACCTGACTCGAGTTTACCTCCTCCTGGCTGAAGACGTGAGCGTGTTCGAATCCTGTCACCAGCCCCCGGCCGATCACCGAAGCGGACGAGCGACCGATGCCCACGATTAGGTCGCATTCAAAGCCCGAAACCTGCGCCGACGTGCATAAAAGCGGTCTGATTCAATCCAGCCGCGGTTCGGCGCAGCCATGCGGGAAGGCGGTCGTCCTGAAGGTGTCGGGAGTCCTGGACACCGGGTCCGATAAAAAACCCACGGTCACGGTGGCGTCGGAAGCGGAGGCTGCCGGTCGGAACCCTTGCGACCCGGATCACGACGTTTTCGTGCTGAGGATCGGGAAGAAGGGCATCGTGGGTGCCGACGAGAAGTCCGACATACAATTGGAGATGAGGACCCCCAAAGGCGTCGAGAAAGGACCACCTATCAGGCACGAGACGCGGGAGATGCAGACTGACGAACGCAGGACCGGCAAGAAACGGAAGAGGAAGAAGAAATGAACGGGGATGGCTTTGTTTTTAAGGGCGGTTCGAAAGTGGTGCGAGGATCGAGGCGTTCTAGGTTAGATTAGGAACCTAGTGTTTCCATGAATTTCTATTGGCCACTTCGACGCCACTTTCGAATCGCCCTGTATACGAAATTCGACGAGCTGAATAAATTTATTTTGAAAGTAGCTTATCCTTTTGTAGCGCATAATTGTACATTTCTGTAATAAAAATCCGATATGTACAATGATCTTCTACTCGCGTACGTATCAAAGTGACTTATACGTGTATAAACGATACCGTTGTAGTCGAGGTTTGTAATCTGTGTTCACATTTGCCTCGAGTAGAGAAAGAGGTCCGAGGGAAAAGAAGCAGTCGGCTGAAGCGTATCAATCGGTTAGGATCATATTATACTGCGTGGTGGTACCACTCCGTTGATGGAGATTTTATGAAATCAATCAAACGGTTGGTTTTTTTTTTTTTT